ACTACCAGCCAGCAGGGGAGATCACTGCAGGCTGTGGCTAGGGAGGGTATAGCTGGATTTTTATAACAGGCAATCTGGTGATCTAAGCATTTAAGAAAAAACATTTGGAAAAGAGAGTCTACTTATGGGACTAAATGGACCACTTAATCACTAAATAAAGGGGCTGCAAATGGGTAGTTTCTACTGATGGGCTGGCTCCTCTAATTCAAATTGCCTTGTCAGACTGCAAAAATAGCAGATTTTTTCCCTGTGGGGGGAAAAAACATTAAATCAGAGGAATTGGTACTGTGGCCTAAGCTCCAGAGTCTAGTCTGATTATTTTTTCAGGGACTCAATCCTACCCAGCAGCCTGAAATGCCTTCCAATGAACAAAGTGGCACAAAAAGCCACCTACGACAGTCTTGCCATGTTCTGGGAGTTTCTTTGTGGAACTGGCTCAGGAAGAGGGGATGGAGAAGTATTGTAGGTTTAAAATAGGAGTGCTGGGCTTGGGAGCTTTTAGCATTCTGCATCCAGATATTTCTACACAATAGACATAATGCTAATCAAGATGGTGTGGTATTGGCAAAAGAACAGACGGATAAAGGGAACAGAGTAGAGAAACCAGAAATAGAAACCCATAAATATAGTCAACCAATCTTTGATAAAGGAGTAAAGGCAATACAATGGAACAGAGATAGACTTTTCAATAAATGGCATTGGAACAACTGGATAGCCACATGCAAAAACAACAACAACAACAACAACAACAAAAACAAGTGGAGACCCCCTTCACAAAAATTAACTTAAAATGGACCATCAACCAAAATGTAAAACACAAAACTGTATTCCTAGAAGACAACATGGGAAAGAACTTAGATGATTAGGGGTGTGGTGATGACTTTTAAAAAATTTATTTTTACTGTATTTTTTTTCCATTACCACATACCCTCTTCCACCTCTGCCACCCCCTCCTCACTGCAATCACCACACTGTTGTCCATGTCTTTGAGTCCTTCTTCCTTTCTTCTCAATCCTTCCCCCTCCTAACTGCCCCACCCAGCACTGTCAGCCTGCTCTCATCTATGAGTCTGTCCCCATTTTGCTTGTTAGTTCAGTTTGTTCATTAGATGCCACATGTGAGTGAAATCATATGGTATTTGTCTTTCTCTGACTGGCTTATTTCACTGAGCAAAATGTTCTCTGGTGACTCTCTAGATACAATACTAAAGACAAGATCCACGGAAGAAATCACTGATAAGCTGGAATTCATCAAATTTTAAAATTTCTCCTCTGCAGAAGACAATATCAAGAGAATGAGAAGACAAGCCACAGACTGGGAGAAAATATTTTCAAATGACAATACCTAATAAATGATTGCTATTCAAAATGCATGAAGAACTCCTAAAATCTAACACTAATGAGCAATCTGATTTTTCAAATAGGCCGAAGATTGTAACAGATGCCTCACCAGAAAAGATATACAGATGGCAAATAAGCAATGAAAAGATGCTCCATATCACATGTCATCAGGAAAATGCAACTTAAAACAAGCTACCACGACACACTCATCAGAATGGCCAAAATCCGAACACAGACTACACCTGATGCTAATGAGGATGCGGTGGGAATGCAAAATAGTACAGCTGATTTGGGAGACAGTTTGGCTGTTTCTTTACAAAAACTAAACATACTCCGGATGAAATGGGTGAAAGAGGTCAAGAGGCACAAACTTCCTGTTATAAAATGTGTAAGTCCTGGGGCTGTACCATGAAGCACGGTGACTGTAGTTAATACCATGCTGAACATTTAAAAGTTGATAAGAGAGTAGATCTTAAAAGTTCTCATCCCATGAAGAAATGTGCAACTGTACAAGGTGATGGATGTTAACCAGACACTGTTGTGATCATTTCACAATGTATGTGTATCTCAAATCATTGTGTGGTACACCTGAAACCAATGTGATGCTGTGTGTCAATTATAGCACAACAAACAAACAAGTAAACAAAACAATCTACTTTTACCATATGACCCACAAAAACCTGCACAGGGATGTTTACAGCAGCTTTACTCATAATTGCAAAAACTTGGAAGAAATCAAGATGTCCTTTAGTAAGTGAATGGATAATAAATAAACTGGTACATCCAGACAATGGAATATTATTCGGCCCTAAGAAATGAGCTCCTGAGCCATGAAAAGACACGGGGAAACTTAAATGCATACTACTGAGTTGGCAAAGGCTGCGTGCTGCATGATTCCAATGACAGGACATTCTGTAAAAAGACCAGTGGTTTCGAGTGTGGGGGAGGGATAAATAGGCAGATCACAGAGGATTTTTAGGGCAGTGCAAGTTCTCTGTATAATATTACAATGATGGATATATGTCATTATACATTTGTCCAAATCCATAGAATGCATATCAAGAGAGAATCGTAAGGTGAATTATGGACTTTGGGTGATTATGATATGTCAATGTAGGTTCATCTTTGGTTTTATATATATATTTATACACACATATACATACACACACATACATATGCACGTATAATTCTGAAAAATCATGTTGATGATGGAGGAGGCTGTGCGTGCATACATTGGGGTAGGGGTATATGTGAAGTCTCTGTACCTTCATCAGTTTGTAAACAAAAATGTTTTTTTAAGATTTTATTTATTTATATTTTTTAGAGAGGGAAGGGAGAGAGAAAGAGAGAGAGAGAGAGAAACATCAATGTGCAGTTGCTGGGGGTCCTGGCCTGCACCCCAGGCGTGTGCCCTGACTGGGAATTGAATCTGCGATGCTTTGGTTCGCAGCCGGCACTCAATCCACTGAGCTACGCCAGCCAGGTTGTAAACAAAATTGTTTAAAAAAATAATATCTTAGAAAGATGTTATAACAATAAAATTACAAAATCTGTGTGCTTGGTTTGTTTTGGTTTTGGTGTGCGGTTTATTTTTATATTGTTTATATTCTTTCAACAATGTTGTCTCAAATCTTTCTCGAAAGCAGGCATGGTAAGGCATTCGGCAAGTTAAAATACTGAAACGCTTTTACACCAGTTGGTAAATAGCTGTTGCCCAGAGCTTGGAGTGCCAACAACAGTGAGGCTACCAGCTCTTCCCATAAGCCCCCCACTGCTGCTTTCTCACCGTCTAACAACTAAAAGTTAATGCCTGGTAGAACCAGTGGCAGGGGGTGGAGGGTGGGGGGAGGCTCCAGCCCTGACCCCTCCCTCAACCCCCTAGTTCCATATCGCAATCCATTCTGACTAATCCTATGCCCTACTGGTTATACCCCTTAAAAAGGTCATAGGTTATAAACACTTAAATTTTAAAACCCCTCATTGAGTCCGTTCATTCATCAGGTGTGATGATTCAAAAATTCTGGGTTAATATGTCTTTGTTGATCTTCGTTGGTAATTGTGAAAGAAGAGCTGTGAACTTTTGTAGAGAAGCTCTCCGAGTCTGAACAAAAGGCCTGGAGATCTGGGGTGTGTGCGGTAAGCTCCCATAACCACTTCCCAGAAACCAACAGAAAACCAATCTGCAACTTCCCGCCTCCGCTCTGCCTGCTATCAGCCCCCACGGTTCCCTCCCAGGGAGCTGAGAGACAGTGAGCACCTTAAAAAGTCTATATACTTGCAAATTTCGATACCATAAAATGAATCATGAGAGGCTTTGCAACGAAAAGAGAAGACAATGGAAAAACACATTCTCTCCTTTCCTGGAGCAAACCCAGCGATTATGCCTGGGGCCAGGGAATCTCTATAAATCTTTGCTGCTGGCTTTGCATTGCCAGAGATGTTAGGTGGGATGAGAAGGGGTCCATTTTTAAATTAATATGTGACAAATTAAAGGAAACAGTGGTTCTTTAATTACTACGTGACAAGTTAAAGAAAACTTTGTGCTAAGGGAGGAAATCCAGGGTGGATGGCTCTTTTGTTCAGCAAAATCCCAAAATAGGGCTTTGAGGTATAGAAAGGGGAGGCCCCGCACCTTTTCAAAACCAGCCTGAAAACCCACAGAGGGAGGACTGGGGTGGCAGAGAAATGGGACCTCAGGGTTCATCCATCATAACAAGATGGAGGGCAGAGGAATGGAAAAGTACCAGGCACAAATACTGATAAGACGAGGGATTTGGTAGTGTCAAAAGAAAACAAACAAACAAATTAATTAAAAAACAGTCTTTTCTATTTTCTCAGTGAAATAAGGAGCAAGGTCATCAGCTGAGACTGAAGAGAGAGGAGACGGCTTGAGGAGGGCTGAGGAGAGAAAGAGCTGCATTGCAGAGTTAGAGGCAGGGACAATCTAAAGGAATACAGTGACATTTCTGGGCAGAGCTGAGAGCTTAGTGCACATTTGTGTCTCTGAACTGAAAGGGGGGCCTATGAGCAAGACTGGTGTTCTTTTTTCCCAGCAACAGTCAGCTGCTCTGGTGGTGCAGGCAGAGGGAAGGCAGCAAGGGCCTAGGGTAGGTTTTGCCACCATGCACTACAGAAGAGACAAGGGGCAAGGGAATTGAATATAAACAAAGGAGAAATGTTATGACAGATCACGGAATTTTAGTGGCTAAGGAGAGATGTTTTTAAAGGCATTTTATAAACCAGACACCAAAGGTTCAAATCCAGTTTCCCTGACTTAGCCCATTCTCATGCCTTCAGGGCCATGCTTCTCAAACTTGAGAGTGCAAAGAATCACCCAGGGATCGTGTCATCGATGCAGATTCTTAGACCATCCTCAGGAATTCTGGGGCACAGCCTTTTTTCTTTGTAATATGTATCAAGTGATACCGATGTAGTGGGAGAGGGTGGGTGTCTATGGACCATTCAACAAGAACTACTAAACTGTAGTTGTTTCAGGGGAAAGTACCTGAGGACAGAGTAGGGAGAGGGGAACTGGGTCACTCAGATCACTGTTTACACTTTTCATTTCACAGCAATTAAATGATGATGTTCCAAATAGGTGAGTTGTTAACCAGATAACATAACTAAAACTAAGCTCATGTGGAGTAATGATACAACGGCTCAGGCCATAAATCCAGTCATTTATTTGCTTCTACTTCCATTAGGTTTCTTGGACAAACACAGATATGACATGCAATTTTGAATCTGAAAACCAGTTCAGCACGGCTTCACATCTGATGCATCAGTCTTCCAGAAAGCCAGAGAACTGTGCTCTGTTTGGGGAGAAAAAGACAAACATGCTATGAGAAACAACCATTTCTCAAATTTGTTAAATGGCTAAGACAAATCAAATACATTTTACAAATGTGCAGAATAAAATGAATTATATGAATGAAATCATGGAGCGTGAGGTTTAGGTGATAGGACAACACATTAGGGAAACGATAAGGCCCTCGTTTCCAAGAGAGAAAGTAAAAGCTTCTGTATAACCCTGAGAGTCAAGATTTAAAGAAACAGAACTGAATATCAGCCCTTTATTTCTTCTCCAATGCACTATCAGTAGGGCTTTGTTTGAAGACTAGGAGGGAGAATGGCTTGAATAGATACATCAACAAAGCTCTGTTTGCTTTTTTTTTTATTATCCTCTTCTACTTTTTTTTTTACTGATTTGTATTGAGCTTACGGTGCATTGTTAATTTTGATATTTAACGTCTCACCAGGGCTCAGCTCTATTTTGAATAATAACAGTTTATTCAGTGCATTTCTAACCCTTTGTAATTATAATAACTGTCTTTGGTTGAGCACTGGTTCAATGTCAGGCCTAATGTTTCTGACAAACCTGTGAGATGGGTATTATCTACTAGTTATCACTCCCTCTGTCTCTCCAGCTGGCCACTTCTCAGACCCCTCTCCCCTCCCTGCTCCCGACTCTGTTCTTTCCCACTGGTACAGGGCTGTCCGCATTCTTGGACCATTTCTAAACCTACAGCCAACAACAGCTTCAGCCTCTGCCGATTCTTCCTCCAGATGACAAAGATATTTAAACCCGAAACCCGAAACCTTAAACGGTTGGCAGCTCTAAGTGCTGGCCATTATAAACTTTTTTAAAAACCTCACACAGACATAATTATCTTCCTTATAATATTTTGCTCTGATGAACACTATGTTCTAGTGGGTACTTTTCAAACTCTAGCAAATGCTGAAGGAAGGGAAAAAATGTTAGGTCTGGAAACCAGTTACCATTGCCATGAGTTACTTTGCAATTTAGGATGGTTCTTTATAATTTGGGATGAACAAGTGGCAAATATTCCATTTATTATTATTATTACTATTATTACTATTCAAACTTAATTTGGAATTATACAAGATAGGATAATTCACCTCAATATTCATCAAATAAAATCAGAATCACAAGTATTAAGGAAAAGAATTGGGAAGAAAAACAAAATGGTTATGCAGGTAAGGAAACCGAGGGCAACAACTGTTTCATCTCACTGTTGCTCCTGTCCCCATCTCTTTTTAAAAGTCCAATGACCATATTGACATGGCTCCTTATGGTCATTATGTAATAAAGTAGTGATTGTGGGGAAGGGCAAATGGAAGTCCTGGCTCCAAGTTCCAGTGTTAGACTTACCCTTGAAGCATTTGGGGATTTCTAAGGTGCCGTCTATGCACTCAGCATCCTCTGTATAGCTGCACTTCTTTTCCTTGTCTTTGCAGAAGAAAGAAACTTTTTGACCATGCAGCATTCCATTCTTAAATTTTTCTTGGATCTTTACTCTCTCCCCTTCAAATATCACAGTTGCTTTTTTAACAGATACACTACAAGATGCTGAAAGAGACAATATCTGTAGTCAAGACTTAGGAGTTCTTAGTCTTTCTTAAAGGGAATGTAGCATTTGAGCCTGTAGATGAGGAGCCCTGAAAGAAATTACTCAAGAGAAGAAGATTCCAAGACTGTACCTAGGGAATAACATCAATATCATTGCTAATAACAGTTCTTTAGCAACAGAAATATTAGTCATGGATTCTGAGATGGACTTTTCTCCCCCTACAGTAGCCACATAACAAGAGCAGAAGCATCAGACTCCGGGCTTCAGTGAAGAACTTCTACCAGACGCCGTCATGTCATGTAAGCCTACACTGGCCCACTCATAACCCATTTATTGACGTAGTGCACATGCCACACCAGCCACTGTGAGGGTTGGCTGATAACAGCTCACAGCTGCTCCTTTCTCTGAAAAATTGTCTTCAGCCATAAGGAAGGCCCCTCTCCCAGGAGGTAATGCAAATCTGCCCCCAACCCCAGGGTCAGAGAAGAGAATAGCCCGCAGCCAATGATTAGGAGATTGATACAAACGGCAGGTTCCCTCGCTTCTTGGTGGAATCAACTCTGGGGCAGAATTCATAGTCCAGAGCCCCCAAGGGGATGTAACAAGGAAATGTAAACTCTAGTTGAGACCACATACTTGCTTGAAACTTAGTTGGATCAGCAGTATCAGCATCACCCGGAAACTTGGTACAAATGCAAATTCTCATATCCTGGCCCAGATCTACTGAATCAGAAACTTCGTGGGATTCTGGTGCACGATGAAGAACCAGTCTCTGATGCACAGTGGGAGGTCCAGTCTCCCACTCCATGCCACCTGCCTCACTCTCTCCCGAGACACCCAACAAATCAATGGCACTTGAATCCCTGTTGCAAACTCTACTTTTAGGGAACCCCCAGCTAAGACACTATCCATATGTCATTTTGCCTGCTATTCCTAATTCCCTTTCTACTTACACTGTCCAGCCCACCTGAGCAGACACCTAGTGCTAGGTTGTGGTTTTTTGCATAAGCATGACACTGACCATATCAAGGATAGACCCCTAAAGGAAAATAGGCAAGTATCTTGGGAAAAAGATGTGTTAGTGATGAATCCTTTAGTTGAGAGGTACAGAGGTAGAGTCCAGCCAGGTTCAATATGAGTAAGCAGAGAAACATGGAGATGGGAGAGACCATGAGGCCACTGAGATATGAAAAAAGTAACAACTGCTCCTAATGTTCAGCTCCAGTTCTTAGGAAGAAGTGTTGTGCTTCATTTCCTGTTCTTCAATGTCCATCAGATTGCCTATTACCCAAGTATAAGCCCCCATTTCCCTGAAATAGCTTGAATATGTGGTTGTTTTTTTACAACAATGAGAAGAGTCTTAACCAAAACTGAGCAGAAATGGATGCTTATAGGCAAAGACTTAAATGTGTTATAGGAAGCCCACACAATCTTCCACCATATTATCAATGCTTACAAGGGATCAGTTTGTACCACACATTTTAATGTCAAACAAGCTTGCTAAACACGAAGCTGCCCAATGAGTCCTAAAGTCTTCCATGTGCCAGGAGCTGTGAAGCCAGTAGCTGTCTGAGCAATAAGTCACAAAGGAATAGAACAAGAAAAAGGCAAGTACAGGTGACCCACTGGTATGTTCAGAGACATTTTAAGACCTCACCCATATTTCATACCTTTACAACTTGGCTGTGCAGACCAGTTCCCAAATTTGGTACATTCTACTTCTTGTGGGCCATCCAAGACATATTTCTCATGGCAACCATATGTGGCTTTATCCTGGTAATAAAGTGCTTCTTTTGCAGGATAGTTCACAAATCCATTGTTTGGTCTTGATGGGAATGGACATTTTACTTCTAAAAAGTTTATTCAATAAAACATATTAGTATAAAATAGTGACGTTGTCCAGTAGTCATGGAATACACAGTTACATTCTAGCCCCTTTATACCATCGATCACTGGGGGTTCCAGCGACTAGAATGCAATGTCTAAGTACATTGGTGCCTAGTTTTGTCCTATGATCTCATATTCATGGGACCTTGGATTGTAAAAAAAAGAGAGAGAGAGAAAACACCACTTTGAAAGTATATGAATGAGCCCTGGCTGGTGTGGCTCAGTGGATTGAGTGTTGGCCTGTGAACCAAAAGGTTGCCGGTTTGATTCCCAGTCAGGGCACATGCCTGGGATGCAGGCCAAATCCTCAGCAGGGAGTGCACGAGAGGCAACTACACATTGATGTTTCTCTCTGTCTCTTTCTCCCTCTCTTCCTCCCTCTCTAAAACTCAATAAATAAAATCTTTTAAAAACTGAAAAAGAAAGTATATGAATGAGTCACCAAGTTCTTAGGGTTTTCACATAATCATAAGGTATTATTTATTGTGAATTTCATCTCCATGCAGCCTAAGATGGTGAGTTTGAAAGAAGGAAAAAATATAAGTCTGTCTCTTTTAATCAACTAGCCATAAAATTGGAACACAAAGACTCTCTCCATGCACATTAGCACACCATTATTTGGATTTTAAATGTTACAACTAATTCTTCAGATGGTACAGGAAGCCAGAACAAAATACAAGGGAGAAAAATGGTGCCACTTCCAAGCTTTCTTAAGGCTTCCCAAATCCACATCCCTGTTTACCCCAATACAGTAAGACAAGGGTGAAGTCAGGAGTTCAGAACTCTTGGGAGATAGAATAATGAGGCGGTTTAAGAGGACAAACTTCAGAGCTGGACTGCTTGGTTTAATGTTGGCTCTTCCACACATTAAATGAGAAAAAGAATCTATGAGTCTATAATAATACTGAAAGAAAAAGTCCATGGAAGAAAATCTCATCTCTGCAGATGAATGCCAGCTGATCAATATAGAAGGGAAAATAGAATTAGAAAGCCACTATTTTGCAACCACCAGTGTCAAAACTGGACCATCAGTGGATGCAGCAAGTACATCTAGAGAAAGCATATCCACACAATCACCAAGTGGCATCCACAGGTAATTTACTAATTCCAAAGAGAAAGAGATCCTTTAAGAAGAAAAGATCTGCCACACCCCACCTGATTAAAGGATTAAACTAAATATGACCAACAGTGGGCCGGCATGTGATAAAATGAATTCTTAACAAATTATATAACTTCAATCACAAGTGAAAAAATCAGCCAAATTCGGTTATGAATCATTCTACAAGACAATTAGCCTATACCCTTTAAAAAATGTCAATGACAGACAACTCAAAAGGCAGGGGATTGTTCTCAATTAAAGAGGCTAAAGGGACATGACAACAAAACAGAATGTGTGATTCCAAATTAGAGCTCACATAAAATAAAACACACACATAAAGGATATTTCTGGCTCAATTAGAAAAGTTTACAGATGAAATGTTCCTAATTATTTATAATATTATAACTGTTTAAATTATTCTGAATAATTTAAAACATGTTACATATCTTGGGAACTGTGACAATAGGAGACTGTCCTTGTGCTTAGAGTATTCATACTGAAGCATCATGGGAAAGGGTCATGATGTGCGCAGCTTGATGGTTCAGTGATAAAAAGTACCTGGGCTGGTGGATGGGTGACTGAAAATATCACAACATGTTGACAGTTGATACATCTAGGTGACAGGCTGGAAAAAAGTTTCAAATATCTACTGCTTAGGACTTGAGAGAATTAAGTGAGATGACACAGACAAAGTAAGAGACAGAGTTGAGTCCCCCCAAAAGGGTCTAGGTATTATTACTGGTAGTTTCCCTATGCAAAAAAAGCACTAATGTTTTGAATCATTCAATTGATATCTAAAATACCTACTTCAGGAGAAGTTAACAGTCCTTAGTATCAAACTCGTCGTGTGCATGATAAATTCTGTAACGTGTCTACTTGGTATGCAATTGACAAATTTAAAGATGGTGATGAGAGGTCAGTTTCAAAGAGGAAGAATGTGCATAATTTTTTTGAAACCAGATATTTTTGTGATTCTTAAATTTAAGTGAAAGCTTATAACAATCTGACTGCAACCCAGTCTTTACCTTCATCTCCCAGGACACCTCAGTATGATCCAGGCTTCTCCTCACCAGCCCACATCAAGTCAGCTGTCTGCGCACACGCCCTGTTCTTCCTGCCTTCCAGACTTCCCACGTCCTATACCCTGCATGGCTTGCCTTCCCCCATCACCACTCATTCTCCAAGCCCCTGTTCTGGCTGCTGCAGACAGTTCATTGCATTATATATAATTCCCCTGAGGTGAGAAGCCAGGTCTCATTCATCTGGTATCCCAAACACCTAGCACACTGCCTGGTGCATAGTAGAGGCTAGTGGACTCTTGTCAAACAAGTCCCTGTGGAAGGCAGTTCTACTCACCACTCACCACCACTGCCAAGCAAGGTCATTTGAAACATTCAATGATAGCAGAACAGTCACTAGTCTTCAAAAGTGGGGATTACACTATCATAATAGTTTTATCTTTGCACTTACCCCTGCATTCTGGTAACTCAGTCCAGTTGCCATGTTCTGTGCAGGTAATGCTTTCATTTCCAAACATGGCGTAGTGTGGCAAGCACTTAAAGACTGCCTTGTACCCATAGAGGGCGCTGTCTCTAGAGAAGGAGCTGTTTGTGGCCAATGACTTAGAAATACTAAGTACTGCAAATTTAGGTGTGGGTGGTGGAGGGCAGTTTACAGCTGGAAAAAGAAAGAACTGTTATTTTTATGAAAATCATTGAGACTTTTAAGTATACTCTTTCCAGAAAAGAAAAAAAAATCTGAAGATTAATTTGAGAAAATGCAAGATTTGATCAAATGCCATGGTAAAAATGGTCAATTGTAAAAGCCAAATGAGAACATTTGATCTGGAAAGCAGATGCCTGCTATAATAACATAATGCTTAGGTTTCCATGAGTCTTTGATCTCAATGCAACCTCGGAAGATGTTTCTGGAAGTCAGAGCAAGTGGACAACATTGCTGACGGACCCTCCTGTAATCATCGCTATTGACAGCAACTTCGTACAAAGCTGGTGTGTTCCACATCTGAGTTCCACTGCTGGTTCAGGTTCGTCTGTTCCTGTTGGAATACCTTCTGCTTTTTGTGCACTCTGGAGCTTATATAAAGGGCTTTCCACAGAGAAATGGTATAGGCTGTCATCCTGACCCGACTCATGTGAAGTCTGAGCGAATCCAGGGAAAGTTATGGTAACATAACGGAAGTTAGTGCCGACCAAAATGTGATTTCGCTTGAATCATCTAGAGCAACGGTCCCCAACCTTTTTGGCACTAGGGACTGGTTTCACGGAAGACTGTTCTTCCATGGACCGGAGAAGGGAGGATGGTCTCAGGATGATTCAAACACATTACATTCAAGCCCACTGCTACGCAGTCTCTTTCCTAATAGGCCACAGACCGGTACCAGTGCATGGCCCGGGGTGTTCGGGACCCCTGATCTAGAGTCTCAACATGTGATCCATGGACCAGCAACATGAGCACTGCCTGGTAGCCTGTTAGAAATGCAGAAGCTCAGGCCCTACCCAGGACCCATGAATCGGAAACTGCATTTTGTAAAGATGCCCAGATGATTCGTATGTACACTAGAGTATGAGAAGCACTTGTTTAGATTAGATTGAAGCTAAAGTAGTCAATCTACTTGTAACTAAAAGGAAAAAAGGGACTTTACATAACCTCAGGGGAGGATTTAAAATACATAAATAAATAGGGACACTATTTATAAGAACCATGGTGATTCCTATGACTGAGTAAAAAACTCTACTTAATTTACCTTAAAATAATTTTTTTGGTAATTCATTGTTTCTTAAACTAGTGTTTATTTGAAATTGTTTTACTTTTCTACTTCTTTTGCTGGGACACACCTCACTGAAATGTCAAAAATTCATAAGTATCATTGTAATGCCTGGGCCTTTTGGTCAAAGATTGGACTTGCAAAAATCACAAGTAAGGGCATGTAAGAATGTCCCTCCCCATAAAAGCAAAGCCCGGAGCTGACCCTGACTGCTCGACTGAGTGTCCCCTGAACTAATCTTATCACCAGTGCCTTTTGTAGGAAACTCAATCAGCTTTTTGGGTGCAGGGCCCTTTGATAGTCTCTAAACTTACCGTGAAGGTGACTTCCTCATCTCCCTCATCACTAGACTGACTTACTTGCTGAGGGCAGTGCTAAGTCTCCCTTAGCTCAGTGGCCTCGGTGCTGAAAACAGGATGTAGTGCATATTATGTCCTCAGTATATGTCTATTGAATACATAAATAAGTGAGTGAATGAATGGATGAATGAGTGAATGGGGTTCCAGAGCGGGAAGAAGGTGTTCGATGCAGAAGTTCCTCCAGTCAAATGGTGGCAGTCCCTGACAGACCAATGCCACACACACCCAAGCCCCTGCCCAAACACTGTGGGAGAGCTGGAATTCATAAACCCAGAGATCCCTGGCACCATCACGTAGAGGATACAAAATGTGTTCATGGGTAGAAGGCTTCCCTTCTGTCATTCCAAAGTGTTTCTTTACTTCTCCAGAGGACGATGTCATCAGGATGAATATTCCCTACAAGGGTGACCAACCATCTCATAGAGCTGAGACTGAAGGGTCTCCAGGCATGAGACTTAGAGTCCTGAAACCAGAAAAGTCCCAGGTAAACCACCTGGTCACCTCCCTCATATCTGGGACCTACAGACTCACGGGCACAGACAGGAAGATCTGGGCTCCATTTTCCTTCCTCAGTGCATTGAGCAGATTTGGTTCCATTCAGATAAAAACTGCAAAAGGAAAATTTAATCCATCAAGCGGGAAAAGAATCCATTGAGAGCATCTCAAATGTCTTTGCCCTTGTGCATTGCTTCAGATTAATACTATTGACTTTGTTCACATTTTATAACGTTGTTTTCCTGTGGAGCTTAACACACATACAAGGCTCAGGTCTCCCAGCCTAAAGCTGCAGGTGAATCACTGAAGAAGGGGAGGGTTCCACAGCTGGTGGGTACAGCGGCCCAACCTCCAAACCCTCATCTCCAACCAGCTGGACCAACTGGTTGATTGCTATGTGAAGCAAAAAAAAAAATGAAAGTGAATCAAATTGAGTAATCACTACTATTCATTTTCTGAGAGCCCAGTGACACAAATGTATAAAAACAATGCAGTCTATTATCAAGGTGATTGCTTTGTATGTTACATAAATGTCTAATCCCTATGTTGTAAGCCCAAAAGTAATATAATATTGTATGCCAACTGTAATTTAAAAAGTTAAAAAATTTAAAAACAAAAACCCAATGTAGTTTATTTTCATTAAAAATGTAACATTTTGTCCTTGGAGCCAATTTTTTCAGTATGCTTTATCATTAGACCCACCAGTAGTAATTTGGGTTTCAGATGAGAGGACCGCATTTCTCTTTCCCACATAGTATTTCTTAATCTCCAATCCCAAACAAGGATCCTCAGTAAAGTTTTGCCCAACTGTATGTACAATCAACATGCTATATTGCCAGGGACACCAGTGGTGTCTTTGCTTATAAGGCAGATGAGCCATATTACCAACCACAGGCTTTCCTCCTGGGGCTGTTGCACTGCATTGAGAATTAAGAGCACTGTGTCCTCCATCATCATACTCCCAACCTTTTCCACAGAATTCCCTTCTAGAGACTGCCAGCTTAGTCAATCAAGTTAGCCTCATGGCTAAAGCCCAAATCCAATGCCTATACTATTTTAATCCTCATATCAAGATTTGGCCTAGAAATTATAAGGAATTAGAGTCCAGTTTCAATAATCTTTTTTCTAATTTTTTTCCTTTTTATTGAATTTGTTGGGGTGATATCAGTTAACAAAATTATACAGGTTTAAGGTGCACAATTCCACAACACATGATCTGTAACTGCACGGTGTGTTCACCACCCCAAGTCTAGCCTCTGTCCGTCACCACTTATACCCCCATACCCTCTTCCACCTCCCCTCTCCCCCCTTCCCAGCAATCACCACACTGTTGTCTGTGTCCATGAGTTTTTCTTTTTTCTTTTTTGCTCAATTTCTTTATCCCCTAACCCCTACCCCCCAGACAGCTGTCAATAATTTTAATGTACCTCATCAGATAAGTAACTAATCAGATGCAGATAAATTAGACATGTTTTGCTAATTATCATATTCTCCACCCCTTATCCACCCTCAGCACCGGTTGTGTATTTGTATTCAGGGATTTGTACTCAGCAAGTCTAAGGCCAAAAATAAAGTCTGGACTAGTCCTGAGGTTTAGCTTAAGGGCATAGAAATGAGCTTCATCGATTAGCTACTCAGAAGTCACCTAGAAGTCCTTACCCAGTGTTACAAGCAAAACTGATCGTGTTGGGATATTCAAAGGTTGAATAGCGTACAGCTCCATTTGGTAAGATTCCAGCAAAAGGACACACTCTGGCTGTGATTTAAAGATTAAAAAGGTAAATACCTATTTATAGAGTTTCCTATTAAAATAAAAATATATAAACTCATGTCTATCCTTTGATTCAATAACTCTACTGGTAACATTCTAAGAAAAATAACTAAAATAAGTCAGATGATATATGCATTAATGTGTTCATTACATGGTTATCTCTAATAACAAAAACTGAACAGTCTAAACGTTCACTCTCAAGGTACTGTTTTACTTAATGATGGTAAATCAACAGTTGAACTATAATATAGGCAATAAAATATTGATTATGAAAACCATAGAGACATAGTCAATGTTTCTGCTATACTGATGAAAATAGAAGAATACAAAATGGTCTCTACTCTCTGCAATATGCAAAAAAAATACGCATGGGAGAGAAAAATGAAATTGTTAGTGTTCTAGAGTTATAACTGACTTAAAAAAATTTCTAAAGATATTATAGTGTTTTTTCATTAAAAGTTATGTTTGGTCTTTTTAATCAAAGAGTATGTTAAAATCACTTGTATGAACATATATACTTTTCACAAATGTGATGTCCATATGACCGAAATAACCAAAGCCTAGATAGGTCCATACAGTTTTTTAGTGCTTAACTTTTGTATATAATTGCCAGAAATCCTATCTTGTTGATTGCTCAATATTTGACTGTAAAAATAATACCAACTTGGTATCACAGAACCACATTCTGAGGGTGAATAAAAGTAACCATCTAGCATAAAGGAATAATGAGATATAAGTGCATATAATTTATGTTATATGACTAACTTAGTATAATACGATACTGTCAGCAAGTATCTGACAGTAAAGATATTTATTCTTTACTATGAATATAACATGTAATATATACATAATTCAGATGAAATTTATTATCAGATTTCAGTAACTACTAAATCTGCTTTCATTTTGAGGCAAAGTCCAGAGACATAATGATTCTTCATTTGTTTTTTTTTTCGAAGTGTCTCTTTGGCATCTCTTTAAAGTTCAAAATATCTGCACTTCTTTTTTCACTTCTGCAGTGTTTCCCTCTCCTTTTATCACACCAGGTCTCTTTTTCACAACTCCCCCAATTCTGGGCTCAGCTTGCCTCCCCTTCTCTAAATAGTACCTACTGCCCTTGGCCTCATTTCTTATGGAGATGTCCCCAGACCCTCTTGTTTCTTTACAGCCCCCCAAACACACACACACAGCTCTGCTGGCCTTCTGCACCCTGAGCAGCATGATAAGGTAGGGTACTCCCCACCCCAAAACGTCCAGAATCCAAGTGAGGTGAGAGAATGTGCAAGAAGGCACTGACTTACGTGTACATTTCAGCGTGTTGATGGGCCATATTCCGGAGAGAGGGCAGGTGAAACGCCTCATCCCTCCCCGGGACACATAGCCTGGCTGGCAGGAGTACACTATCTGCTCCCCTGGATCATAGGCCAATTTTAAGGGAGTAACTGTGGCAAACGGTAGCTGTTCTGGCTTGGGGCAGGCTAAAATAGAGCACAAAGCAGTTGGTTAAGAAATCTAGATGTGTATTTTTCAGTTCAGCTGGCATAGAAATTAAAACTCATAATTGCCGCTCACAACAAATCTACAAAGTTCTGCACCGTATCTCATCTAATCTCTTCAACAACACTTTGAAGGGTACTATTGTTATCCCCATTGTACAGGTCAGTACTCTGAGGCTTAAATTGTCTAAGCATTTTCTGGAGAACCTTTAAATGTGGCAAAATTCAAAAATAAGTATCAATCCAGTCTCTCCAGCATCCTAAAGAGAATTTAAGTTACTAGTGATCCCTGGAATATATCAGGGGGTCGGATAGATCTATTATTTTTGCAAAAGTGAAGGGTACTTACTCCGTCCTGCAGTCGCCACATGGCAGAGAAGACTCGAGAACAAGAGGAGCACTGGAGAAATCATTGTGGATGGTTCACACAGACACTGCCCAAGTGGCTTTCCTCTACCAAAAAGATGGATGCACCTAGGAAAGTGCTTAACTATTAACCATTTTTGTGTACCTTTTTGTCTGTAAATAGAAGATAACATATCATGATTTGAAAGGAACTCTGAGGCCTACATTCTTTAATCATTTACTTTCTTTCCACTTCTGCGGATCTGTTGTGAAATCATCGGTTGATGGTTTTTGTCTTTACAACGATTTTGTTAAAGGCACAAAACAGTGCATTATTGCCACTAATAGATCCCTGGCGATTCCCAGGTTGCTGGGTCTTCGGCCCAGACCTCTAGTTTCCCAGCCTTTGTTTTCTGCTCATCGTGGATGGATCACCCGAAGACCGAAGTGACTGCTTCACCCCCAGCCTTGGCATATAAACTTAGGATTCTCTCTTTCTTTCGGGGCTCCAGTCTTCACTCCTCTAACATGATATTCCAGTTTCTACATGTATGATTCTTAAGAACATGACAGAGGCCTCTATACCTAATATGTCTAAAAAATGGAGCTTGTTATTCTCTCACGTAATGGCTATTTCTTCCAGATCCCTCTTTTTAAAAAATTATTTTAATGATTGTTCAAGTACAATTTTCTATCTCTTACTCTCATCCCGGACCACCCACCCAGCCCTCCCCACCTCCCTCCCATTTCCACCCACCCCTAGTTTTTGTCCATGTGTCCTTTATACTTGTTCCTGTAAACCCTTCCCCTTTTCCCCTGAAATTCCCTCCCCTCTCCCCTCTGAACACTGTTAACCTGTTCTCTATTTCAGTGTCTTTGGTTATATTTTGCTTGTTTCTTTGTTTTGTTGTTTAGGTTCCTGTTAAAGGTGAGGTCATATGGTATTTGTCTTTCACCGCTTGGCTTATTTTGCTTAGCATAATGCTTTCCAGTTCCATCCATGCTGTAGCAAAGGGTAGGAGCTCCTTCTTTCTTTCTGTTGCATAGTATTTCATTGTGTAAATGTACCATAGTTTTCTGATCCATTCATTTACTGATGGGCACCTAGGTTGCTTCCAGCACTTGGCTATTGTAAATTGTGCTGCTATGAACATTGGGGTGCATAGGTTCTTTTGGATTGGTGTTTCAGGATTCTTGGGGCATAATCCTACCAGTGGAATTGCTGGGTCAAAAGGCAGATCTATTTTTAGTTTTCTGAGAAAATTCCATACTGTTTTCCATAGTGGTTGTACCAGTCTGCAATCCCACCAACAGTGCACTAGGGTCCCCTTTTCTCCACAACCTCTCCAACATTTGTTATTTGTTGCCAGATCCCTCTTTTGCCTGTTGCTGGCAACAAGATCCTCCTGGGGGCTCTGGTTATGACCTCAAAGCTGTCTTTGACTCTTCAGCCGACTCACATCAAATCAACACCAAGTCTTGCTTAGCCATTCTCAATACTTCCTAGATCTGTGTAGACAGATGTTTAGATCTGTTTTAGGGATTAGAAAATTGACCAGGGCTCAAAGAAGAAAAGGAGCTGAGTAGGAGAAGAGAATGGTGATGACGTCGATGGGGAAGGTTCAGAGGGGAACCTTCCTCTGCTCATTTCTCTCATACCTCATTTGCCCTAAGGAACTGAATAAGCAAATGAGCCATGGCCAGGCAATATATAAGAATATCCTGCTGACCCCCATCTTTGTAGCAACCAATCCAGGAAGCCAAATCACAACCTCTGTAGCTACTGGCCCAACTTGGCACCAACCAGAAAAAAACAGGTATGCTCTTCTAACCAATCATATAGGCTGCCTGAACTCTAGTTAGTCCATCTCCTCCATCTTCCCCGTACCAACAAGCTGCAACCAGGGCAACTTGAAAGCTTCCCTTTTGTCCACCCTAAGGTTTCCCATTCCTTTAACTGACTTTGAGTCTCTGCTAGACACAAATAATGATGGCTGACTCCCTGGCTATTACAAACTCTGAATAAACAGCTTTGCTGTGCTCTCACCAGGGTGGTCAAGGTTTATATCCACAGGTCTGAAGTTTCTGGAGACACAGCAGTTTAAGAAATGTTCTTGTCAGGCATCGATTCTTAAACTATGCTTAGAACGAGCATGGTGTTCCATGATAAGTGGACAAGTGTACTTCCGCTAATATAAAATAATGGCCATCCTTCCCCTTTGTGATTAAATCACAATATTCTCTCTCCCCCCGCATAGTTAAATATGGAAGAATACCATATTTGTGGAGAATTCCATTACTGTGGAGAATTCCCTTTATGGGTGAGAAAGAGAGAAAGCTAGTGAAGAAGAGCCAAGTTATGTAATAAAGTGCTGTGGTGGATGGAGAATGAGGCAGAAACTAGACAGGCTGGGCATCAGGGAAAGAAATGTCGAGAGGCTTGAAATTCAGAAGAGAACATTTTTGGCAGTCACTGCAAACTTGAGTGACAGACACTGAGAGGATCTATGATGGAGAGAAGGGTTTTTAATGATGCTTGCTGATGGATGTACTTCCTCACCTAAGGGAACCTTCTGGAGGGCTGGAAAGAGTTTATATTTTATTTTAGTTGGTTATTTCGTAGGTAGGTACATGCAATTGTCAAAACACATCCAACTGAACATTTGAGATCAGTGCCTTTCATATGTTAATTATAACTCAACTTAAAAGCAATGCCCTTCTTTCCTTCTTCCCTTCCTCTCTCCTTCCTTCCCTTCCCTTCCTTCCTCCCTCCCTTCCTCCCTCCCTTCCTTCCTCCCTCCCTTCTTTCCTCCCTTTCTCCCTTCTTCACTTCCTTCCTAATTCTGTCCAAAGGTTATGGGACAGACCTAAGTGGGAAAGTCGTAGTGGCCCTTGTGAGAATGGCAACTCAATGTTGTCACAGGTTGGCTACATGCAAGGGGTTGATGAGCAAACAAGCAAATATATTGAAGATACTTGGAATCAAGTTTCTTACTGACAAAGAGAGGTAGCAAGATGGAAAGAAGGAAAGCATGAATGAACCTTGTGGTATTGATTGGAAGTAGAGGTATCAGTAGAAATTCTGCATATTTATATAGACAGATATAGAAATAACTACAGATATAAAGGTATGTGCATATGTATGTGTATGTATGTACTATGCCTATAGACACATGTAATTCCTAGCTCTTTCCACTGAGATAATCTGGGAATGGTAATACACCCGGGAGCAGCGAGCATACCTAGTGCTTAGGGTTTGGTTTCACAGAAAGGCACCTAGGACCCTTGGGAAACTGGCTGATTCCAGGCATGGGGCAGAGGAAGGACAAGATAAGCCTGGAACATCATGTTGGGAAGAATAACTCAGATAATGCTCAGAGTATGGTAGGGATCAAATAAAAAGGGACCAGAAGTCATTTGAAGGAGCTCTCACTAGTGAAATATGGGAAAATCTGAGTGTCAAAATAATTAATGACAGTAACGAGTTACAATCCATTGACTAAAGCAGGAATCAATGAGTCCACATTGAGAGCAATAACCATATTGACAAATATATGGGAAGATAAGAAAGTTATTGCTTAAAGGAGGATTAATACAGGGGGAATACTGGAATCAGCAAATCGCAATTTGGAAATAATCATAAAGACATTTAATTCTGGCAAAAAAAATATCAGAATGGATGCTAAAACTAGGTGGTGTTAGTGAGATGAGAAATGAGATGTTCATATGGCCTTCAAAGTGTCTCCACATAAAATAATTACTTATTACAAATGGGAGGAAAATTTATAGCTGAGGAACCTGGCAGACACCATCCCAATCAAATAATCAAAATTAATACCACCATTAATGAGACAGATTGACATTTGAGAACACCGCATCTCTTCTGAGATCTTCCTGCCGAAGACATAATAACCTAGGCTGTGTTGTGAAAAAGTATTGCACATACGAAGTGGAAGGACAGTATGCAAAACGACTGTCCTGTAGACTTCGAACAGACAAAGGAAGGCTGAGGTGGCCCCGGGCGACAGGCTAAATGGATATATACCGCATGATGCTCTTGCTATACAAGTCTCAGGGAGATTTGGTAAAACTGGAAGAAGGTCTCTGGGTAAAAAAGTATTTGGAAGGGATTTTGTTGTTGTTTTATTCTTGAAAATTTTCTGTATGTTTGAAATTATTTGGAAATATAACTTAAAAAAGAAAAGAATTGTGGGCGCTCTTTATGGCATCCTTAAGAATATTCTTAATGAGATACTGCCCTTTAAAATTAAAACATGTGAGGCCTCAGCTTGTTTGCATCATCCCCTATAAGTCAGTGTAATGAACAAAATGTCATCAATTTTCAGTTTATGTGTATGTATGTCTATATAATCATTGACACCCACACGCTATTGGCAGCTACTGAACTTTGGAAAATGATGTAAAGACAAAGTAACCAGAAAAGAAAGAAACAACTAAATCAAACTTAGCTTGACAGTTTTTGAAGAAAGGCACATGAATTCGTGGTGGGTGTTGTTTGTTTGTTTGTTTTGGACTAGTTAAATGTTCCCTTGTTTGTACAACTGGATATAAAGATGGTAATATATGTAACAGATGGTAATGTGCACCATTAATACATTATAATTATTACTAGTCCTGAGTGCTTTGCCACTTGCACATGCCTGAGAATTCTGAGATGCTCCCAGAACTCTTCTCCAAACTTACACGGTCTCATGGAAAGCCTTTGGGATGAGCCGTAGACGTGGTGTAGTTGCTCATCCCCCAGCCTGTGATTTATGGTTTCATGTAACTTGAGCACCATGTGACTGACCTGTAGTCTGGTCTCCCATCCCCTCCATGTAGTTCAATTCATACTCCAATAACTAGCTTACAAGAGTAACCAAGGAGCTGGTTGATAACTGACATTAAATAACGTTTTAAAGACACATTTAAACTTATCGTTGCAGTTTAATTTGGCACAGCAAATGGAAAAAGCATTAAGGGGAAACAATTGAAAAAATTTTGGCAAATCAAGTTGCTGTTTTGTATTGCTGAGGTTTATACTCATCACTAAGGATTAACCAACCCTTGGATTTAACGTTGCACTTAGTATATTATCTTTTATTTACCATGAACAGGAATGCACAGATTCACAGACACCTAGGTTGAAGAATACATGACAATCG